GCCCCTAACTCACAGAAAAAAGTAGGGACAGAAAAACAAAAAAACTTTATGTAAGTGAATTTATCCTAATTTTTTGCCAGATGCCCTACAAATTAGTCTAAAGTTGTTGTCTGATATAAGATATTGCCATTCCAGGCCTCTGTGGGTTATTTTTATTCCATCTGATCTGTATCTAAAAAAAAAAAACTTTTTCCAACCACCGATCTCATCCCCCCGTTGTCTTAGGGCAAAATGAAATCACCTTAAAGCACTTATCTCTATAAAGATGACTAGACAAACAGGTGCACAGAAAAATATTTTTTTTGAGTTAGAGCATGTTATCTTGTCAATGTCATCCCGAAAAGGGAAAAAAAAACCTACCGCAGCTTTCACTTGGACTGCCTATATCGCAAAATTCCCACCTTCTGTCTGGGTCTGTTGTATAACACCATGCGGTGGTATCCTGATCAGGGTTACGGCAGTTGTTGTTGTTGAGCAAACCGTCATTTGGATAACTTTCTGGAGTGAATGAATGCGAATGCGGTGTCTGTGACGACCAGTCTTGACATGTGAAACCGCTGGTTGTGGTATGTACTGAGCCTCGATAATCGTAAGCGTTTGACATTTCATAACATTCAGTTGTTGGTGGTGTTGGTGACTCAGTTGTCGAAGGAGCTGTGAAAGTTTCAATTTGTTATCATCAACTTAAAAGTAATCAAGATCTAGATACATAATTGCCAAAATCTAGGTCAAAAGCTAGTGGTATGATCTTCCCTTTACGGTTCTTTAATCTACGAGAAGGGGGTAGCTATTCAGTACAGCGTATTGTTTTCACGTAGGACCTAGCATAACATACAAATACAATAATTAAATGCAATATGGGTATTATGCTAGGTTTACACTATGTCCCCGGTACCTACGACAGCCCCGTTTGCGCCAAATGTAGTGCACCGTGGGATTTTGGGCTCTCCTCACCCGCCCCTATTTCACTGAAATAAATGGGGCGGAAAAACAAAAAAAAAATTTAAAAAGTCTTTTTTTGGTGATCCACTTCACAGAACGGATCACCTCTTGTTATTGTCAGCTCACTCGCCCCTAACTCACAGAAAAAAGTAGGGACTGAAAAACAAAAAAACTTTTTGTGAGTGAATTTATTTATTTTTTTCCAGATGCCCTACAAATTAATCTAAAGTTGTTGTCTCAGGTCCATCCCGTTTTGTTCACGGTGGCTTGAAATGTGGTTGCTGTGGCCACCGGAAATATGGTGTAAACCTAGCATAAGATGATAACAGTTGAAACTAGAGTAGTCACTTTATAGAATGCAATAATTTCAACCATCAGTCCTATGACGTTCATTCGTAGCGCCCTGGGTTGGACTGTTCCATTTTATTTTGAAAGGGTGTTCCGTTTTGGGAACAATGACAAGTCGGTTTATCCAGTTAAGTATTCACGAAATAAAATAAACCATCACTCCTATGACGTAGGTTGAATAATAATTCATAAATTACCAATGAAAAAAGTACTACCACATTAAATGATAGTACTTTTTTCCCCTATCGCGATGTAATCTCTAGGCCCCATTTATAAAATGACAAGTACAGACAGTAAAGGGGACTGCAACCTCTATGATGAGAGAAATTGGGCTTTTGACCATGTAGGCCTAGGCCTACTTGGTGGGTACTTTTTTCATTCCTTTTTTTAAGCATCATAGAATCTATGTATGCAGAATAAATATCAAACAACATTGACTGCTCTGGATTCAGGGAATAGTGAAACCTACAGTATAGTCCCTCGTTGATGAAGAGACCCTAGACTATGAGAGAGCAGCTTGGCTCAGTCGGCTAATCTGGTGGTAGACACTGTGTTTTTCGCTGAACCCTGGAAATCTCTAGATCCCCGGTTCAATTCCCATCGCTTCCTCTCCTTGTGTTTCAGCCGGAGGACTGAAGTACAAGTTACAGTAGCACACAGTCTTTCGGATGAGACCTTGAATTTACGGCCCATGTGCACGTTAAAGAACGCAGTATACTCTTCGGAAAAGAGTAGGGGATTGCTCCAGGTGTACTGAACCACCAGAAGGACCCACTGGGCCCAAGAAAGTCTCCTCGCAGACTTTCTTGGGCTATCCTTGGTGTTTACACTGAGGAAATCCAATCCAATCCAATCCATCTTCCCAGGGGCCGGAGGCAGATATAGTAGGATACCGTAGGCCCTTGGGAAGATAGTAGGCTATGGTCTCCACATCAGCGAGGGGCTATAGGTTTCAACATTCCCCTCATGAGCAGTAAATATTTGTATACTACTTCCCTGTGGGTGCCAAATTAACATGTACGTTGGGACACTACCGGATTCCTGCCTATGTGATCGTATGCAAACTCTGTAACTGTATCCACCGTCACCAATTGAAATAGCTAATGTAGACAGATGCTGTTTAATATATGTGAGGTATAGTTAAATAAATACAAAATGGTTTTATTTTGGCAAAGCAGTGAATTCTACTTCCCTCATTGAACAATTAGGACTGCTGTACTGCCCTCTACTTCAGGAAGTGAAACATTATCCACTACTTCATTTCAAATGATGTTGTATTTTATGTTACTGTATTGCCTACTTTATGGGTATACATATTAAAAAATATTAAAATAAAATCAGTCTTACGACAAACAGGACAGCATTCCCCTTCTAGAGTAACCAACTGTTCCTACACAATGAAAACATGTTAAAAGAAATCTTTAATTTTGCAACTAATCAGATTCAATAAGGTAGAAATCAATAACAAATAATTATCAAACTGTTACATTGTATGTATAAAATTTTTTTTTAATTTATCTTTTTAGATTTTTTTTAAGTTTAACAGCAACTACACTTATTAATGAGTGTCAATCTAAAGGGCAACTCAGACAGCGTCGTACGACGCAGCTCGACGTGATTTGTTTTTGTGTCGGGTGAGTTAAACGTAGACGCGATGGTTTGCATTGGGGCAGCCGCGTCGTAGAATATTAAACATGTTTATCATTTTCTCACGACGGCTTAAGACTGTCCCCGACGATGAACTGCATCGGGCTGCGTCGTACGACGTTGTCTGAGTTGGCCTTAACTCAACAACTGAATAATCAGAACAGGACCAGGAATATGCGCATGTCCAAAAAACGCATGTGTTGTCGGATAAAGGCATGCGTTTGCATATGGACCTTAGCAACAATATCCAAGGAGCGGGGCTTAGTGGAAAGGTCCATTACAGAATTGAATGACTGCATATGGTCATGATGACATCATCATGAGCATACCGTATATAGGCACATCATGACTAAATATGGGCATACAACAGTACTCACCTCTGGACAGTTTGGTTGTCGTTCACATGGTTGCCTAGCACAGGTATAATCATTGTTGAAACATGTACATGTTGAACAGTCTGGATCTCTGTCATCAGGCCATGATGAATCAGGCTGAATGTTAAAATCAATATGTATACAGTAATTGGATTTTTTACAAAATTATGAAGAAAACTATTTTAAGATTTACATAAAACGATGCAAAATTGAATTCCACATTTGAATTGCCTGATTTGTATATTTTAGTCAGTTATTAACTTACAATTAATAACTTGAATGTGAAACAATTTTCGTTATCAATTAAGAGTCGAATAATACCTTTACTGTATACTTTTGCATAGACCAATGGTAACAAATTTTATAACTTTTGTAGTAAAATATGTGTAGATCAGCATTACACGTTAGGTTACACATCTATTATTTTGCAGGTAAGTTCTACATCTTGGTATCTTTATTCAACTGAAATATGTCATGCAGTGAACACTAAAATAATTTAAATGAATTGGAACATGAATTTACATAAAAATCTCACGATTAAAACATTACACTTATAAAAACTTATTACAATATCATACAATAACAAAAAAACTACATTAGTAATATCTTAAGTATTTGGCACCTCAATAGAATTTTAAAAAAAATTCTACCAGGAAGGATTTTAACATGTCTATTCCGTGAATACTTACCTGGATGAATCGGTATCCAGGTAAGTATCTCACTCATAGACCAACAACATTACTTCTGATTTGTGTGTTTTACAGTGGCAATATTGGATGTTCTTTAAATATTTACCCAAATTGGTCAGTTTGACCTTAATCTTAATGATCTTAAAAGTTAAATACTGTATTCAATGTAGCTTTAATGAAAGGAAGATTCAACCATGACATTTCTGATTTTGAGTGGCACTGGTATATGGTAAAAGATGATACAGTAGACAGTCTTGAAAGATTATTGCTAAATGTTTTATAGTTAATTGGATTATTAAAACATTTTAGGATTCTCACTTTTGAGATGTAACCTCGCGAGCCAACTTCAATGCACACTGTTGCAGCTGTATCTATGTCAGCAAGTTAATGGTGCATATTTGTCATGTTTCTAATGTGAGCTGATTCTACATTAAGGTAAGGGGTACAGTTAATACTATATTAATACTTGTTTTAAAGTTGTCCATACTAAGAATAATTAAATTTGTAACCGTGCATTGGGATGGGATAGTGCAGGATTTTGAATTAGCAATATTAGAAGCTTCGGCTGTATAACCTAATGATAATGTAAAATTTTGTCAATATAAATTGTCAACATATATTATTAATATTATTATTATTATTATTA